TTGGTACAATATTAAGTTATTATCATTTTCAGTTATTGCCATTGCCATTAAATTATTATTTGTACAATATAGATGATTACATACGAATTGTTTTATTCTCCTGAAACTGCACGAGTCCATACTTTAGGCAAGATATCTGAATTAGATGAACGTATTGCTTCTCTGGAAAAACTCGTAGGAACAGCTCACGGGCAAAATTTCGAAGACCTTGTAGGTTATCATTTAAATTTGTAACTCCACTGTTTAAAACTTTGTTCATCTTTGTGTTAAACACTTTTTTTTTTCTTTCATTGAAAAGTCAATTTCTATAACAAATACCAATCTCATCGCTGCTGTCGATAAGCTTGATCAGCATATGCAAATATTGGCGCAGCCCCGTCATTTGGAGTCTGTTTCTCGAAAAGCAAAAACTCTTGTCGGAGAATTAGAAAAAGTGAATGAATTGAAGAATAAAGAATTTATGAATGGCGGTGTCATTGACTATGATACCAAAGAAAGGGTTTGTATTTGTTTATTTTCTATTGATTTTATAGAGACATACGGTCATCCCTCTATATTAATCATATTAAAAGTACATTATATTAAAAACTTAACATTCTCAATACTGTGCTCAAAAAAATTTATTTAGTTTATAAATATATATATTTACATAAGCAAAAACTCTTTATAAACACTTTCTAACCATTCATTTATAAAGGATGACTGTAGCTGCTGTTAGTATATACACACAACATTAATAACGTTTACTATTTTTTTTTACCATAAAAAGATCAATTATCTTTTCGCCCTTTTGGACAAGGTTGATCCATTGATTTCCATTGCACCAGCCTTGGTCAACCGATTGAAATCTCTACAACAATTACATCAAGAGGCTGCGGTATTTAGTGATACTATCAAGATGTTGTCTGATGAACAGGGCAAAATTCGTGATGAATTGAAAAGTTTGAATGAAGTTTCTGGAAATGTAAGTAGTGTTGGTTACTGTTTGGATAGTTCTTATGTTGTTACATTATAATGTTAATTAATTATAATTACCAATTTATAGCTTGATAAGTCTTTCAAGGTTAATGAGGAGACTATTCAAAAAAACATCAGCATCATGGATGACCGAGTTACTGATCTTGCCAAACGGTTAGAGAAATTGGGAGTAAAATAAAACTCAATGACATGATATTTTTTTTTACCTACCCAAGAAATATAAATTATGTAATTGTATGCAGTATGTCAAGTAAAAACTAATTATGCAATAGAAGTGATTTTCCAATTAGTGCATACATTTTTTAATTTATCAAAGATACCTGATACATTAATTAATGAGCTATGCTCAGTAAAATTTTTCTTTTTATGCACTAGATTGTCACCTATTCGAGAGTGCATATTTTATTTCGAAGAAATCAAAGATATTTAATGCAATAATGATGAATTACTAGGCAAAAAAAAATATCAATACCCTTATTTATGATTATTTGGAATGTTTTAAATCCTAAAGTTTCTACAATTTGGTCTTGTTAATACATTATCTATTATTTAGTTTTATAAACACACATCTATAACATTAAAATCTAAAAATTCATGCTGCAATAATGTTAAATATGACAAAAATATTTCTCTGAAGAGAGTAGTAACAGCTTTTATCCAGTGTACCAGTTACTTACAAAATACGAAGCGAGACAAATTTTGCCTATTCGGTAGCTTAAATAATATAAACTATCATTTGTAACAAACTTGATGCTTTATTTTACTACTTTCTTAAATGCGAAACCTATATATATTCCTTTATAAAATGAATACACATTTAAATTAGTGCTTCTTCAATTTAAAAATCGAATTACATATATAATTTTACCTGCAGCTTCCCATTCTGCATCGCTCATCTCACCATATTCTTTATTATGTTTAATTACAGACATCTTGTACAATAGTTGGCGATA